CACTCCGATGTTCTCCCACTTCAACCCTCCACTGTCTGTGTCATTCTCTATGGCTCTTTTGTTCATATCTTCACCACAGGAGCTATTTCACTGGGGCTAAGTCACTTTTCTAAGTCACTCCTTCATTTGACAATGATTTTTGGTGAGCCAAAGGGGCAAATCTGACATTCTTTTCTGCATTGACAGGGCCAAATACAATGCCTGGATTACAGAAAGTACTGAATATTTGATGGATGAGTTAGTTCTGACATCTTCCCTAGAGACTTGTGTAGCACTAAGTATCTGTAGGCTGAATTCAGAAGAATTTCATTAGGATACTGAAAAATTACTGGTTTTGGATTACTATCAAGGATGTTTTTTCTAAGAGTCCAATATCTGTTAAAGTCCCTATATGTTCATTAATTTGGGGCAGATTGTTATCTTTCAGTTTTACACATCATTAAAATGAAATGGTATTTGAAATACAGTGTTTTGACTGAAGTAAAAAGTGAGGATCTGACCAAGGTAGAAAATTTAATAAGGGTAAAATTATATCGTGATGCCTTCCAATGGATTGGTGAATTTGACCTGGTGCCTTATTCTCGGTTACAGAAATGAGTCATGCTGTTTTTATTTCAAATACATTATATTATAGGACTTTCTCCATAGGATAAATTTTTTTCACTATTCTTTTGATGTAACTGGTTTGAAGATTTAAGTTCTAAATATGCATAACTGTAAAACTTCTGTGAGTTAAAATGATCCTTTAGAAAAACCATAAAGCAATGTTTACATATAATAGCTTCAAAATATTTGTGTTGAAAAGCTGTCACTTCTGTACAAAATAACCCTGGACTCATGCAAATCATCTCAGCTTTAAAATACGAAATACTTTTACAAAAGAAATGATAGGGTTTCAGAGAAAGCACAGGTTGGTTTTTAAAGTATAGAAAGGTTGCAGATAATCAGAGACCCTTCTGAAATGGAATTTTCATGTATACTCACTGAATTTGTAGAAAAGCATTCCAAAAAGACAACAAGTACTTCAAAGCAAGTGGCAGGTTTGAAAATTTTGCTAACTTTCCTTTATCTATTTTCACTTTTCCCAGAACATATGTTTTGCAGTAGTTTTATTAGCAAGTGGAGAAGACACCACTGTCCAAAATCTGTGGTGTGATTAGCATTATTGAATGGCAGGTTTTGTGTTACTCATGTTTATTTTATGCCTTCCCAAACCATCTGCTTCCTTGTGGTATGTCTTATTCAGATAATGAGAAACAGTGACAGTAGAGGTGTATAATTCCACTGCAATTCTAATGGTTCCTGACATTTTGGGTTTGGGTTTCTATTTTTCTGAATGTCCTAGGCAAAACTGAAAAACATGGTCACTGCTTAAGAAACAAAACCTAGAAATAATTCACTCATTCATTTGACTCAAATTTAATGAGTATTTACTCAGAGCCAGGTACCAAACAAGAACGTGTGGTTACTTATACCTATGTATAAGACACTATTTACATCCATAACAATCTAGTAAGGGAGAGAGACAGACAAAGTGTAGTGTCATAAGGGCTAAGGTAGAGTTGGATAAAACTATGATGGCATGGAAAGAAGAAGTGGAAGTGTTCATTCCAAGAATGCACTGGAGTCTTAAAGCATTTAATTACAAGTATAAGGAGTAAAAAAGCTGCCAGGGAGTATTTCGGATCAAAGCACCTACATTGACCATGGTATCCATAGAAATGTGAAAGAGTTTGCTGTTGAGAAATTTTAATTACTTTGGTTTGGCTGGAATACAGGGTATCATGGGAAAACATAAGAGAAAGAGACTTTGCAACTTGGTAACGATTACTAGTACATACCGAGCCTTCAGTACATGCTGTGTGCTGTGCACTTTCTCTCATTTAAACCCTCCAACAAATTAGAAGACTGAAACAATGGTACTATTTTCCTTATTTTACAGATTAGAAAGCTGAGTTTCAGAGAGTTTCAGTGGCATATTGATTTAGACAATATCCACTCCAACGGGGTAATTCTGGAGCAATTAATAATGGGGCTATTTATAGAGCTGTAGACATGGTTTAAACCAGTGGTTCTCCAAGTGTTGTCTCTAGACCAACATTTACAGCATCACTTGAGAATTTGCTAGAAATGCAAATTCTCAGGGCCAATCCTGGCACTACTAAATCCAAAACTCTGGGGGCGGGGCCAGCAATCTCTGCTCTGACAAGTCCTCCAGGTGAGTCTGATGCAGGCTATAGTTTGAGAACCACAGGTCTAGGGAAGCGACAGTAGACGGTGCAGTGCTGTGAGGTTAGAAACACAGGGGGAGATGAGATGTTATCATTCTGAGGTCTGAAAGAAGAGAAGGCAGTTGTTAGAACCAGATACTGTTAAATCTTCCTGAAATGGCCTCTTGCTTAAAATCTTACTGTGGTTTCCATGACATATTTTTTTTTCCTTGTTGATTTCTGAAAATAAATCGCAGGTTTCATGGATTCAGTAAACAGAGACCTGGGTTTGGTTATCAATTTGGCATGTGACCAGCCATGCAATCTTAGAAAACCACCTTAAAGTCCCTAAGCCTATGTTTGTTTCATTTGTTAAATTAGTTTAATATTAGTGTCCACCTCATAGAATTTTTATAAAATTGAAATGATTTAATATTGAGAAGAAAATATAGAATAGCCCATGTTAAATATGTTATATGTTACCTGTTACTCGTGATATTTTGTTATTACTGTTATCATTATTATTCTTCCTTCTCTGTTTTTTCCAGGGTTATCCTTCCTTTTCTGACATTTTACTTGAATTTATTTTTCCCTTTTGTTGATTCTTGTCTCTTCATTGTACATATATACCCTAGGCTATCTTTAATATCAATTTTATAATAACTCTCAATTTATATCTTTGGCCCCATCTATCCTTTAATTTCTAAAATTATATATCTAATAGTCCACTACTAGATAGCTCGTACTGCTCATAACACACACAACATCAAAACAAATAAAATCAAACAAGCAACCAACAACAGATAAATAATAATAAGAAGAATCACCATTCATTTACCCTGCCACCTGTGACAGAAATCTGGGAAGCTTCTTAGATTCCTTCCTCTGCCTACAAAAACTCATCTACAGATTTTAACAAGTAAGTCCTGTTGATTTTCATAAATTATAAACTCTTTTGACATCTTCATTCCTGGAGCCTAACTTGTTAACTCAGCTGGATTAACACAAAAGCTTTAAACATCTTTTTCCTTGAAATACATCACACATTTCCAACCCTTCTTCATCCTCTACCCCACTTAGCAGAGTGCTCTTTCTCAAACCAGAACAAAAAATAAACAATAAACCCAAAAAACAAATTAAGACCATATAAATTCCCGACTTAAATCTCTTTTAGGATCCACATTGCTTATAGAATACATCCATAGCTGTTTAACTTGACATAAAGGGTCACTGTCTGACTCCTACCTACTCTTATATGAGGGTTGCATGGTGTAGTGGTTGAGAGTGGGACTTTATGGAGTCATATTGCCTGGGCTTAAAATATGCCTTCACCTCTTCTTGCTTGTCACCTTGAGCATGTAGGACAGGCACCTTCTGTTTATCCCTCCTGACCCACACCATACCCTTTACGTGCTCTTTGCCAAGGAAGGTGATATGTCTGACCTCATCAGTTAGTTATCCTGTCCTGTGGTACCACTTGGATTTGGCCACTGAAAGCCATCATCAGGAACTGTGGTGTAGCCACAGAGGGTTCCCTTCCTGCTGAGTTGCCAAAGGTTGATAGTGCCTGTCTACTGAAGGTTACATCTGCTGTAATAAAAACCTCTCGAGTTTGCTTTTTATGGGTTTTGATAACTTCCTTCTCTTGTATGATAGTGTCCTCCCCTATGTGACCAGTCCCTCCTCAGTCTGGGTAACTGGGGTCTGGCTTTTTCTTGAATTCTGGCTGGTAACTGAGTTTCTGCCTTAGAACAATGCTTATAACAACTTCCCCCAACTGAATGATCCATTTTGTTTTTGCTATACATCTATTGCACTACATTCCTTACTCTGAATCCCAGTTCCTTGAAGTTCATGATTCAGGATGATTCAGGTCCTGTCTGAAGAGACTGCTACCAAGTTGTGTTATGGGTTTCCACCATGTAACTGTTTGTGGATGATTCCATGGTGGATGGTTCAGTAGTCAGGTAAGACTCTGGGGGCTTTCAGGGTCTGGAGCTGGGGAAGAGGGAATTATTTCCTATCCAACCCCCTGGGGGGTTGTCAAATGTAAGGCCAAGAAGGCAAGGGGTCAGTATCACAGCTATTAAGTAGCTGGATTGAACTGTTAGGGAGCCTCATGACAAAGCAATGGTTTGGTCTCAAGGTTCCCACTCTTAATTGTCTGAAGTATTCCAATGTCACCCAGTCAAGTTGTTGGATTGAGACATCTTCATCCCTGGATGATTTTTTTCTTTTAATCAATCGTTAGAATTTTTTTTTTTATTTTTTAAAAATGGTTCTGACTATATATAGGTATTTTCCCCCTGAGCTCTCCTGGAGGAGGCTAGGGTTTTATTGTCAGTGTTTTCTCTTTTTTCTTCCATCCAATCAATGCCTTCATCATCTTCCCAAGAGAATTTTGGAATTATGAGACTCACCCCATTGCACCTTGATCAAAAATCTATTCTAGGGGCACCTGGGTGGCTCAGTCGTTGGGCGTCTGCCTTCGGCTCGGGTCATGATCCGGGGTTCTGGGATCGAGCCCCGCATCAGGCTCCCTGCTCAGCGGGAAGCCTGCTTCTCCCTCTTCTACTCCCCCTGCTTGTGTTACCTCTCTCGCTGTGTCCCTCTCTGTCAAATAAATAAATAAAATAAATAAATAAAATCTTTAAAAAAAATCTATTCTATTTTCTGCAGATTTATGTCCAGGCCCTTTTCATATACTCTATATCATTTAATCTCAAAAAAATACCTGTGAAATTTCTATCACCAGTATCCCTGTTTTGCAAATAATGAAAGAGACACTCAATCGCTTCTCAGCCTTTTGGCTAAGATCAAGTGTAATAAAAGAGACACTCAGAAAGCTTAGGATGTTTTTCCATAGTCACAGAATAGGCCAATGGCAGAGAGAGAATTTTGAATTTTCTCTATATTTTCTGTTAAAGGCAAAAGGTATTTTAATATTGCACTTTTGTTTAAAGTATGATTGTTTAATATGAAGGTAGGCTAAAATATTTCAAACTAGTAAGTAGCTTTACATTTCAAAAATAAAATCTAAAATCATCCAGCTCAAGCATATCATATAGTAAAGGATGTGACTTCCTTGTGTTTAATATACTGCATTTCTTGTTCATTTATGGAGTTTGGAGTTCATAAAGAATGATCCAATGTGTTATTTTTTATAAGTTAGATTTGCATGCCTCATGTTGTATGTTGTTCCTAACTCCAATTTCTTCTGGTCAGCTCTCTGCCCTGTACTGGGCTAGGCAACCATGGGGAAAATGTCTTTGGTACTTTCTCTCCAAGAGTAAATAGCTAAATGATAAATATTTTTAAGGAGTGGAACTTCATTTCTGGTAGATCTGGCTCATTCTAGAAGACTAAGATTCTTTTTAAGTCTCCACACCTAAGATGCCAGTTCTTCTTTTTAAAGTAGAGATCTATCCTGAAACCTCTTTAGCTAATTTTTTTTTTTTTTTTGGCTCCAAGTAGTTTCCCTAACTATGAAAAAATTTCATTACAGAAATGGATGTTTCCTGCCATGATTCAGGATGATTCAGGTCCTGTTCTGAAGAGACTGCTACCAAGTTGTGTTATGGGTTTCCACCATGTAACTGTTTGTGGATGATTCCATGGTGGATGGTTCAGTAGTCAGGTAAGACTCTGGGGGCTGTCAGGGTCTGGAGTTGGGGAAGAGGGAGTTATTTCCTATCCTCAACAACATTATATCTTTCCCAGAAAAAATAGACATAGCTCAGATCCAAACTAAATCCATCCAACCAAACATTAACTTTCCATATTCTTTATCATGTGAGTCAGTTGTCCTGTTTTTCTGTTACATATATTTATAAATATTCTCTTCATTTGTTCTTTCTCTGAACCTATAATTTATTTGTCTCTTCCATTTTAATAATAACAAGAACAGGTATTTTTTTTTTTTTTTAACCCTGAGCCCTAGTAGCTTCTGCCTTATTCCTTTGCTTTGTTGACTGCCAACTTCTTGAGAGCATAGTTGAAAACTTGGTCTTTCTGCTTCCTTTCATGTGAATCATGCTCCATATAGCTTGTGTTTCTCAATACCCTACTAGAGTCCCTCTGAATCTATTCCTCAGTGCAGACACTCCGCACCTGGAGCTCCTTGAATGTCCAGCCCACAACAGGGTCAACCCTGTATGTGAGGGACACATTGCCCTAAGTGGGGCAGTGAGAGTGTCATACTCATCTGGACTTAGTGGGATCCAGAGGGATCTGGACTTTGTTATGACAATAGTTTCAGTCTTCCCTTTTGTGTTGTAATGCATTTCTGACAATAAAAGATCCTGCTGGAAGAACTGTAAAAATTTGAGCTCTGGGATCTGAGCTACATGGATTCTGCTATCTTCATTCATTTCTTGTATCTTGTATTTGTCATATCATGTATTTTTCCTGAAGCACAAAGTATTCTTAACATTAGCTGAAACAATGTCTTAACTATAATAGAGCCCCAAATAAAACAAAAATAAATTATAATCAACACTGGGATGAAAATACCCAGGAGAAAATAATGATATTCTTCCTTTTTTAATGACAAACACAAAATAATATAATTTATTTTATTTGGCTTTCAAGAAAACTGAGACCAAATAAGAAGTGAGAAAGTAGCCATAATATAACTCCTTATGACCATAACACTCAGTTTCATTTGTTACCAGAATTTTTATTTCTATTTTCAATATTTTTCTCTAGTCCTATTTTCTTATTCTTACTTTTATTTGTTTTATTTTATTTTATTTTATTTTATTTTATTTTATTTTATTTTATTTTATTTTATTTTATTTTATTTTATTTTATGCCTTTATGTTGTAGTTCACCTTAAATATTTGCGGGGGGGAGAGTAAGACAGCATACAAATAAATGCATAATAAATAAGACACACTGACAGTTGTTTTATTCTCCTAGAAACTAAAGGGATAATGGCTTATGAAAGCATCCTCCTAGGTAAGAGGGTGAGGTGGTCGTTTGAGGAGTATTTGTATGAGAGAATATTCTGGGGTGGATGTGGTGCTCATACTGTAAGAATGCTAAGGACACAGAATAAAAATAGTTGTGAGGTTGCGGTATTTGTGGCCATGGTTTCAACACAACAGCTCTAATATTAAAACTAAGCATAATGGGGAAAAAAAAATCAATGCCTTCTCTTGCAATAATTTGTTTTCACTTATTTTCCCTGTAGGCTGCAAGAAGGTACCTATTTTTAGTTTTTAAGGTGCTGATGAAGGGAACTAATTCCCAAAGGGGGGCAGTATTGTTGAAACACCTTGGAGTTGCCCCTCTGCAAACTCCAGTGGTCTTTCCTCTTGGTAGAAAAACCACCAATTTAATTTCAGAGACCCATGAGAAGGTAAATTTTACTGGGCTTCATTTTACTCTCTATCTCATGCTTTGCTTTGAAAAGGCATGGAGATAGCTGCAAAAGTCAGTATCCAACTGAAATCTTGAGGTAGGATTATATACAGTGGCCTGGCACAGTAACTAATCTGAAATCATTACTTATCCTTACCTGATTCCCTGAGTATGCATTCAGTTAGTTAGGAACTTAGATGGAGGAGTCCTATTGGCACTGTTAAATATTCCTCACAAATTCCACTGGCTGAATCTGAGCATTTCATTTTAATAAGGTCAACTGACGACTGGAATGTTTCTGCAGACAGGGGTCCCGTGGTCTGGATAATAAGTCTTATGAGGAACAAGTAAAGTAAGTTTTTGATTTTTTTTAACAGAAAAGAGAAGATTAAAATTCTTATCAACACTGGAAGATCAACAGAGATAGAAGGAAGTTGTCTAGGAAGGTGTGGCTGGTGATGGCAAAGCTAGAGTTAAAAAAACTATAGAATCATAAAAAGGACTTCTTCATTCACTCAGAAATAGAATGAGGTGAGTCAAAAGAAAATGGTTTTCCTTGTTCGGGTAGTGTTCTTTATAGTTCGGTTTCAATTCTCTCCCAATAATATAAGCTGAAACTAACTTATAGTCTAATTCCAGTTGTTCTTTTATCAGAGACTTCTCAGATGCCACGGTGTGGCAGCATGTCCAGCTTATTCAATGAAGGAATTGATACAGGGTAGAAAGGCATGATTCTGGAATGTATCACATTTTCTGTACTTTTTGGCCTTGCTAGAAAAACCTTCACCCAGCTTATAGCTAACTATATTTTTACGGCATATCCTAGATACTGTGATGTGTTGGGTATTGTTCTATGCACTTAAAATAGGGACAATAATGTCCATCCCTTCCTTTAGGGACTTAATACACCTGAGGGAGGGCTCTATGTACAAACACAAAATTTCTAAAGAAAACTGAAATTGCTGAAATTGTAAGTATAAATAGGCAGTGCCTTGCCCTCACTGTATCTCAGTTTCCCATCTGTGAACTGAGACCACTGATTCTTTAAAAAGCCTTTCCGGTTTTGAAGTAAGTATGACTAGTACTTAATCATCAGGTACCTGGAGCTACCACCTACCCTCTCACAAGAAGGTGGGCTTTCCAAGGCATTCTGAGAATCCCACTGCAGCCTCCAGGCATGTGCTAAAACAGCGAATCTCTATGGTGTCATAAACTCTCTGTGTGTTCACAATGGTAAACATCTCACCCCAACAGTTGACTTATGTCTGCTTTTTAAACAATTGCAACAGATGGTTGACACTTGAACAGAATACATAATTAGTTTTGCAATCTAACACTTCATTCTTATTTGTTCTTTCTCAAAGGAGAGAAGCTGTGCCTTATGCCATTGGGTCTAATCTGTTAGTTTAATCAGAAGTCGTGCTATCAAAGTTCTCAGGAGAGATGGGCTGTGGGAGGATTCCTAATCCCAGCATTTCGGGGACATTAAAAAAAGCTGGGAGGAGGTGGAGAGAAGACATCTCAGTACTTTTTAAAAACTCATGCCTCATTCTTATTTGTGTTCCAGATGAGGGAAGCTTTTATATGTTTTTCCTCATTTCTTCCACTTTACCTCCCTTAGCCTCAATTTCTTCATCTGGGTTAGTAATCCCTAACTCAGAGGCTGCTCTGAAAAATAAATGGAATAACTCCTGGAAATACCTAGCATAGAGACTGACATGTAGCAGATGCTCCCCAAATATCCATTTTCACTATGGATGAATTTAGGCAAAACTAAAGGGACATAAATTCCTACTTGTTTTGACACTATTCATGTGGTTCAAGTTATGACCTTGTAACCACTTGCTCGGCCAGTAACTTTCCTGAACCCATGTTTCAGAAAGGAGCCTCCATCAGTGTTTCTCTCTCTTCCTTATGGCATCTCCTTAGCAGACTGCTTCTCCACACTCTTTAACCAGGGTAGATCCTATGTTAACAGAAGTCCCTGGAGGCCCAGAAATCCTTCTTTAACCAACATTCTTATTCCCCATGTGAATCTATTCCAAATTCCACTCCTTTCTCTGAGTTAAGAAATCTTAACTCTAACATGCCATTCCCCCAAAGTTTAAATTTATAGAATAGAGCTATTGTCAACTTACTTGTTATCTGTATGTCATATTCATGAAGATTTTGATATTCAACCAACTTGAATTTGTCAGAGAACTATGCTGTTTCAGAGAACAGAACAAAAGGTCTAAGAGTAGAAGGCACAGAGTTGTCAAAAAACAGAATTTGCTGTATCAGAAGAAAATAATTCTACTTTACTTAAAGTGTCCTAAAGCTATCCAATGACCCTTGGTCAGAGGTAATGCTGCATTTATTGCAGAAAATATTATATGCCATCAAAGGCCACACTAAGATTTGGTAATTCAGTGAACTTTATACAACTCAAGAAGGGAGTGGTCCATTCCTTTGAAGAATGTAGTCTTTAGGGAAAGGGTTGGGGGGAGTATAATCGAGAATAATTTATAAAATTTAAAGAAATTAAGTAATGTAAACTATAAAGAAAGTTAATTGGAATATCTTAAGAATTCAATCACCATAGTGAAGAAATATATATTTATTGAGCTCTA